TGCAAACCATCTTGTGGCGGCCATCTTGTGTCCACATGGAGGCAGCCATCTTTGACCACATGGGGTCAGTCAACTTGTGTCTTGGTGTGATGGTCAATTTGCATATTACTCTTTTATTAGGTAGGTCTAGAGGCCCAGTGCACAAAATTCGTGCACTAGTAGGGTCCCTAGCGGCTTCTGGCTGCCGACCGCATACGCCCTTGCCCAGCCGGCCCTGTCTCCTGGCCGAACTCCCAGACGAACTTCTGGTCGAGGGGACAATCTGCATACTCTGCTTTTATCATCTAGGATAGGATTTCATAGTTGAGGAAACCAAAAGGGAAGCAAAGCAAACATAGGGGAGCCAGAGTTTAAATCTAGAAAAGTCTGATTATGGAACCTGATCTAGTCTGATGGGATAGACTTAAAGATTCTTCAAACTTGTTTACAGCTACTGTCATATTTCATCAATCCATCCTTTTAAAAACTATATCAAACATGCAGTAATGTGTAAGTGAAAAAAATATGACAAAACTATAAAGATTATTGAGCTATCTCGGAACAAAAGTCAAATAATATAACAATCTAAAAATATTAAAGAGAAAATAGCTATAAAGGACATTGGGATAGCTGAGATTTGAATATAGACTCTGATTTAGATAATAGTATTACATCAATGTTAAATTTCCTAGTTTTGACCATTGTAGTGTGGGTAAGTTAGAAAATATATTCTTGCCTAAACCGGTTTGGCTCAGCGGTAGAGCGTCAGTCTGCGGACTGAAAGGTCCAGGTTTGATTCCGGTCAAGGGCATGTATGTTGGTTGCGGGCACATCCCCAGTAGGGGGTTTGCAAGAGGCAGCTGGTTGATGTTTCTGTCTCATCGACATTTCTAACTATCTCTCTCCCTTCCTCTCTGTAAAAAATCAATAAAATATATTAAAAAAAGAAAATATATTCTTACACATTGAAGTAATGGGAAATAAGGGGCCCACATCTTACTCTCAATGATTCAGGGGGGAAGTATATATATAAAAATAGGGAGTTATTTTTAAAATAGGCAGAAATATAAGTAATGGTAACTCTGGGTAAAGAGTATACAGGAATTCCTTGTACTATTATTTTTTAAAATATATTTTTATTGATTTCAGAGAGGAAGGGAGCGAGAGATAAAAACATCAGTGATGAGAGAGAATCATTGATGGGTTGCCTGTTGCACACCGCACACTGGGGATGGAGCCCGCAACCTGAGCATGGGCCCTAGACGGGAATCAAACCCGTGACCCTTCAGTCTGCAGGCTGTCACTCTATCCACTGAGCCAGACCTGCTAGGGTTCTTGTACTATTCCTAAAATGTTTCTGTTTGAAATTATAATCCCTCCAAAAAAGTTACCAAAAACACAGGTAGAAAACAGGAAATGGAGGTGTAACATTCTAAGAAATTTTTTTTAATCAGGTGAAGCATTGTTTCCTGTGCTCTGATTTTTTTTTTTTTTAAGGGGTTATAGGAAGGACTTTGAAACAAACAAAAAATCTTATCAGAAATAACTTGACTTTCTCAGATTTCAAAATCTAGCCATTCAGAGCTCCCTGACTCTCAAACCTCTTTAAAAAAAAATCAAAACAAAACAACAGCAACAACAACAAAAAAACGGGCACAGTATTTTCCTCTCCTCTTTTTAATATGTTGGCGGTAGAGGAGATTCAAAACATCCGTCATCCGTGCCTCTAAGGTAAAAAGTCGGTCCACCTTTAGTGATACTGAAAGTTGAATCGGGTTGATTGTACCATCTCCCTGCCTACACACCTCAGTGGCATGCTGATATCCATGGGATCTTAACGTCCAAACTCTCTAGCCTTGTTTTCCCGGGTTCCTGGCTACTACCTACCGTTCTACCATTGTCTCATGCCATCTCTGCCAAGCAGGCACACTCCGGCCACACAAGATCACTGGATGTCTGCGCACCCTGACCTTTGTTTGCCCTTGAGCGGCCTTGCTTGGAAGGCATTCCCATGCTTTTCCTGCTGAAATGGCGCTCATCCTTTCAGTCTCCCCATAACCGCCTGCGGGAAGCTGTCTCTGGTCTCACGCAGAACTGTGTTTTCCTTTGTCTGTGCTGCCCTGTCTGTGGTGCAGACACAGTGCTATCTGCTTGCATTCAGCAGTCCTGATTCAGCATCTACTGGAAGCTGGAAGCTGGGCCAGGGACTGGGGGCTCAAAGGCAGCCCTGGTCTGGTAGCTAGGGGTGAGATGTAAACAAATAGTCACAAGGTGAATCCATAACAGAAAAATAGACAAAAGTGCTGTGAGAGCCAGGAGCTCCACCTGACAACGCAGTCTCGAAGAAAAGATTGCAATGGAAAGCCACAATTAGATACCATTTCCCCCTCCTCTGGTTCCTCTCCAGATTGGAGATTTCCAGCACAGTAATCTAATTACATGAATACATTTAAAACGATTGTAGTACCTGTAGGCTTACCCAAGTAGACTTATTCAACAGAAAGCTAAAAATAGAAGTCTCTAGAACTCAGGGGAGGGAGGTTGAGTCTGGGTGTGTAAGTCACACAGAGCGGTGTGCTCAGGGGCAGCTCACAGTCTCACGGGGTTGTCCTTTTTCCAACCCCCCCGACCCTGTCATTGCCCAAGGTTCTGCCCTCGCTTCCCCCTCAGCTTTGGTGACATCCTTCCTGGCTTAAGAATGAAACAAAGGAGGCAAGAAGCTCTGGTGGCGAGGTGGTTAGATGCTTGGGGATGGCTGGTGGAGGAGGAAGAGGAGGAGGACGGGGGGAACCTCAGAGAGAGACGTTGTAAAGGGTGAGTGGAGAAAGAGGAGCCAGTGATGAAGGCAGCTGGGAGGAAGGAGAGGCAGGAAGGACGGGGCCCAGAGGGCAGGGCCACAGGAGGTTCCAGAGTGCTGGGCAGGCGGCAGGGGCTCGGGCTGCAGAGGTGGGCTGAGGCCTGACGTTGGGTTCCAGCTCAGAGGGAACCATCGCTGTCGACGGCGGGGCCGGTTTCAGCCGAAAGGTCCGACAGAAACCCAGCCTCACTGGATCCCGGAGTGGCTGGCCTTGAGGAAGTAAACCCAGCAAAGACTTACTCTTTCCGGGAAGTTGTTAGGAAATCCGAAAAGAGAGGTAAACTGATGGATGGGAAGGTGAATTCTGAAGGGTTTCCTTTAATGCAGGCTGGGTGGGGCCGGGAATCTTGAGCAGGTGTATTTGCTGGAGGGAAAGGGACAGAAGGAGGAAGAGAAATCGAAAGTATAGGAACCAGTTAAAGGAACTCGATCCTTCCGGAGTGGTCAGGGTCGTTGAGAAGACATTCTTGCTTTGCGAGAGCCCCTGGAGGATAGGAACCAGGTCTTATTTACCTGCTGTCCCTAGTAATCGCTGCACACAGTAGGCCTTCAGAAAATGTTTATTCAGGAGAGTAAAGATATTATTACTTTTTAAAAATTAGTTTTTTCTGATTGACGTAGCAGCATAACAACAAAACCTCTGTTTTAATCCTATAACTAAAGGCCTGGTGCACGAAATTCACGGGGCGGGGGGGGGGGGGGGGGGGAGGAAGTTGTTACCTCAGCCCGGCTGCACCCTCTCCAATCCAGGACCCCTCAGGGGATGTTCAATTAAACCGGCAGTCGGACATCTCTCTCACAATCCAGGACCACTGGCTCCTAACTGCTTACCTGCCTGCTTGCCTGGTTGCCCCCAACTGACACCCCCCTCCACCACCACCCTCCACCCGCTGGCCTGGTTGACCCTTACTGCCCCCCTCCCCCGCCAGCCTGATTGCCCCTTAGTGCCCCCCCCACCCCGGTGGCCTGGTCTCCCCTTACTGCCCCCCGCCAGCCTGGTCACTCCCAAATGTCCGTCCCCCCCCCCCCAGCCTGGGTACCCCACGCAGCCTGCTGTTCAGTTGTTGGTCATCCCTTACTAACCCCCCTGCCAGCCTCATTGCCCCACACAGTCTGTGTTTGGTCGTCTGTCGGTTGTTTCAGTCATGATGGCCCCGGCTTTTTATGTATTAGGATTAACATCCTGTAGTGTGCTCTATGTAAGCCATAAATTTGCTGCCTTATGTTCTTTGAAATAAGAAGGAAAATAAATTGAGTATTATTGAGGTAATAGTAATGATCACTTAACTTTTCCGTGCTTGGAATTTCCTGAGTTCTGTTCCGGCATCTTCACTGTGTTAAGGTTAAGGCTCTCTGCTTGGTGGGTGCAGTCATTGGAGCAGAGGGGCACGCACATAACAGCATAACAGCAGGCTCTCTCCCAAGCTCAGCACAGGGACTCGGGAGCTCCATGCTTTGGGTTTAAAATTCTTGATTTTTTAAGTGTTCGGAAAAGGACATCATTTTGATTGTTGTCTATGATACATGTTACCTACTGTAAATACTTCTGATATTAACAAGGACTGACTTTGTATGGAGCCTTCAGTTTTGTAACTTAATTCTTTGAGAGTATATCCAAAAAAGCCAAATTGGTTAACAGAGCTCCTCGCTGAGCACATTTCAGCTGCAGATGGTGAGTGAATCAGTGTGGGTTTTATTCTGCTGTGCAGTTTCCATGTTGTAGACTAAAACCCACAACAAATATGTGAAGGCGGTTCTGGTTCACATTTTCCTTCCTGCGGCTTGCAAACTAGCATACATATTGATGCTATCTCATTTTCTGTTACCTTTTCCCCCTCGATTTCACTAGAAAACTTTGCCATTTTTCCCTTTTGGGGGGGGGGGTATTATATCATTGCCAGTGAACTATATTATACAAAATATGCTAAGCAAATAAAGTTAGTGCATATAGAATTCAGTTGTGAAGACTGTAATGAGCTGATTGAAATGCTGATTTATCTTTAGTGAATAAAATTGTTTCCCTTGATGAATTGCTGTCTTGAGACTTGATTGGAATATTGTTTGCTCAAAATCTTACCTCTTTTGTTTTCTTTTCTTGACAGTAGATGCCCGGTAGACATCTTAGAACTTTAACAACAGAGAAGACCCTGCTTTTAGGGGGAAAATGCTGAGGGACACTATGAAATCTTGGAACGATGGCCAGTCGGGTCTCTGTACCAGTGACCAGGAAGAGGAAGAAGAGATGGTTTTTGGTGAAAATGACGATGACTTGGAAGAGATGATGGATCTAAGTGATCTGCCCACCTCTCTTTTTGCCTGCAGTGTCCACGAAGCAGTGTTTGAGGTGCAAGAGCAGAAGGTAGGCACACGTCCTGCCTTTCCCGGCACTGGTAGTGTGTTGAATGTACGTAGGTTGGTGGGAACAGAGCAGATGGCTGCCCTTTTGCAGAGTCTGTGATTGGTCCATAACACATACAGGAAAGATGCATCAACCTTTATACATTTGCAGCATTTTTATAGTGGTTTTTTTTTTTTGCATTTTATTTATAATGATTTTATAAGTGTCGGTCTGCAACAGAGAGGAATATTTTCTTCCCCACAGGTATTTTGGGAACCACTGGTTTATAGTGAATTAGGTCTTACTAAGTGCATTTATTCATTCATTCACTCACTTTTGAAGCCTGTAGTTAAGAAAAAGCTACTGATTTTTAGTGTGGCTTCCTATTGGGAGTAAATTCACAAAAGTCCTTTTCTGGAGCTAATTAAATAATTAGGACTATTTGTGATTTCATTATAGTAGAATTGCTAATACTTCTTGTTTTACTTTCTGCAGTTTGACTTGTGCAAACTGGTAATTTTTTAAAGGCTGCTCTCTGTTAGTTCATTATTATTTACCTGGAAAAAGAGAGGTTTTGTGTGTTTATTTTTCTGACATAGAAGCCTATAGGTCTTAGTCCTGCCAAAGTAAAATATTCCTCCCATTGCTACAAATTTTGCCTGTTTTGAGACTCTCTCTCACAGTGTTATCAGCAGACCTCTCAGCTTGTGCCTGTGACTCAGTATTTTCCTCCCAGTGACTTTCTTGAAACTGAACTCCATATAGTTTGACTCAGTACATACTGGAGTGCCTCCACTGGGCAAAGCACCATGCCAGTCGCTCAGGGCACAGAGCGGGCGCTTACACCGCTTCCGCCTGAGACAGCTTACCGTCCCACAGTGGAGAGGAGTCGTGTGATGTAAGATGGAATACCAGTGCCTTTAGAGATGCTTGGAGGTACATTGGTGAGAGGATTATAACCAGTTGGAATAAAAGTTCTTCTGGGGAGAATACGTTGGGGCAGAGCTGTGAGAGTTGGGTAGGAAGTTAGCGAGGAAAGGAATTCTGACCAGAGGGAAGAAAATGAGCGAAAGAGCGGATTCACAAAGACTAGGGACCAACCACATCGGCAAGTAGCAAGCAGTTCCGTGTGGCTAGCGCACAGGTAAGATGTAGGCAAGAGAAATCTGGCCAGAGACCTGGCTGGGTAGCTCAGTTGGTTAGAGCACTGTCCTGATTCGCCAAGGTTGTGGGTTTGATCAATGTTCAGAGCACATACAAAAATCAACCAGTGGATGCATAAATAAGTGCAACAACAAGTCAACTTTTCTCTCTCTCTAAAATTAATAAAAGTTTTTAAAAAGAAAATTTGTTTATTTTAAATATATATTTTATTGATTTCGGAGAGGAAGAGAGAAGGGAGAGAGATAGAAGCATCAATGATGAGAGCTAATCATTGATCAGCTATCTCCTGCATACCCCATATTGGGGATTGAGCCCACATGTTCCCTGACAGGGAACCGAACCATGACCTCCTGGTTCATGGGTTGACACTCAACCACTGAACCACAGTGGCCAGCTGAAAATGTATTTTCTTTATAAAAGAGAGAGAGAGAGAGAGAGAGAGAGAGAGAGAGAGAGAGAGAGAGAGAGAGAGAGAGAGAAAGAAATCGGGCAGGAAAGTGAGTGTGGGGCATCCTGCAAAGCTCAGGAGCTGGCCCTTCTGTGTTAAATAACCTTCTGATTAAAGCAGTGATGATCAGAGTTACACTTCAGGAAGGTCCCCTGACTATATTTGAGGCAGCGTGGAGGATGGAGAGCTGGCAGCAGGGAGCCAGGGAGCAGAGGATGCTGGAGCATAAACCTGCCTGCAGATGCTCAGGACCCAAAAGTGGAACAAGGGAGTGGGAATACAGCCACCAGTTTTTTATTTTTTGGGTTTGTTTTCATTTACAAATGCTCTTTTCTTTGTCATATTCAGTCATAAAATAGAAATTTAGAAATAATCTGATCCTAATTTTCTCATACTTCCTAAGAGCTCTAAATTTTCATATAATTACATTAACCTTATTTATTTGTTGTGAGAAGCACAAATGCTACTCATTTATCTTAAAAATATATTCATCTAGCTGAAACCGGTTTGGCTCAGTGGTAGTCAGTCTGCGGACTGAAAGGTCCCAGGTTCAATTTCGGTCAGGGGCATGTACGTTGGTTGCGGGCAAATCCCCGGTAGGGGGTGTGCAAGAGGCAGCTGGTGGATGTTTCTCTCTCATCGACGATTTTAGCTCTCTATCTCTCTCCCTTCCTCTCTGTAAAAAATCAATAATTAATATATATATATATATATATATATATATATATATATATATATATATATTTTTTTTTTTTTTTTTTTTTTTCATCTGGAGCACTTTCGATTTTGCTACTTGGGCAATTTTGAATTTGGGGTCAAATAAACTCTTTGTAAATTTTATATATATGTGTGTGTGTGTGTGTGTGTGTGTGTGTGTGTATGAATTAATTCCAGAAACTTTAATATATTATCAGTTCCAATTTTTTTTAACTGTATTCTAGAAAATGTTTTAACTTGCCAAAGCAGTGAATTCTTATTGGTTTTTCATTTAAAAAAACAAAAAAAACTATACAGGGGTAGGCAAATGTAGGTTTAAAATTGTAATACAAATAAATAATACAATAATTAATAAATAATAACACAAGAATAAACTCTTGTGTTTTGTGTACTCAAAACTATAAACCTATTTTGCCCTTCTATGAATCTAACCTAAATGTTTATTGGAAATCATATCAGCAGAAACTTTAGTAGCAGTTCAGTGGATTTCAGGTAATATACACTTCTTAGTCATAGTAAATCCTAAATAATCCTATATAATAAAAGCCTAGTATGCTAAGTGCCTGGTTGTCCAGTCAGCTGTTCAATCAAAGTATAGTACACTAATGATATGCTAAGCCCCCTCAACTACTCACTATGACATGCACTGACCACCAGGGAGTAGACGCTTCGACCAGTAGGTTAGCTTGCTGCTGAGGTCCAGCCAATCGGGACTGAGTGAGATGGGCCAGACATGCCCTGGAGTCCTCCCACAGTCCTCCCAGGCTGGTCAACATCCTTCGATCCTCCCCGACTCCGACTGTACACCAGTGGGGTCCCTCAGCCTGGCCTGTGCCCTCTCATAGTCCAGGACCCCTCAGGGGTCCTTAGCACTGCTGCTGCACTCGCCAGCCATGAGCCCAGCTTCTGGCTGAGTGGTGCTCTCCCTGTGGGAGCTCACTGACCACGAAGGAGCAGCTCCTGCATTGAGCGTTTGCCTCCTGGTGGTCAGTGCATGTCATAGCGACTGGTCTCTTAGTCGTTCGGTCGATTTGCATATTGGCCTTTTATTATATAGGATATATATATATCTCTCCTGTAACTTACTTTTATTTTATTTTTAATATTTCAAGAAAGACTATTTTAAATAATAATGTTACATGTAGTACACCCTTTAATATCTCAAGAAAACCAACTTTAAATGTTGCATGCAATAAACATTAGTATTTTAAGAAAAAAAGGATTTTAAGTATAATAACACTAGAGGCCTGATGCACGAAGTTCATGCAAGAGTAGGCTTTTGCGGCCCTGGTGGCTGCCTCGGCCCTTGCAGCCACAGCGTCATCCGGACGGTCATCCCACTGTTTGGCCGTTTGGTCAATTTGCATATTAAGTTTTAATTGTTATAGATTACTAAAATTGTACTTATGTAGTATGATATTACAAAAGTTGGAGGAAATATTAAAAATCTGTAAATAACAGGATTCTATTATATTCTAAAATATTTTTTCCTCTGGCTATATTTCTGAGTTGTTTTCTAATGATGATGGTGTGGTATATGTACAATATAAATCTTTCTATCAAGCATTTGGTTCTTCACCTTCCATTTAAAGGAGAGTGTTATTTAAGAAAAATAAATAGTCTTTGGAAGCTAACTGAATACACTGATTCTCTGGTTTTTAGACTAAATCAATTGCGTGTTTTCTGACACAACCTTCAATCCAGAAGAAGTAAATCCCTCTTTAAGAAAGTAATGTGTTTTAAATTTGGGAATTGAAAAGGGGATTTAGAGGAAGAATGTTTCTGTTTAGTGAACTGTATTTTTAATAGTGCCTTGAAGTAATAAGATTTCAGTAAATACTTGTTTAATTGAATTTGTAGTGCTATTCTGGCTATAAATAAATGGAAAACCATACTATGTCCATGAGCTGGAAGATTTAATATTGTTCAGATATCAGTACCACCAAAAGCAATCTACAAATTCAATGTAATTCTTATCAAAATCCTAATGACATTTCTTACAGAAATAGAATAACTCATCCTAAAATTCATATGGAATCTCAAGAGACCCTCAACTAGTCAAAACAATATTGAGCCGAAACCGGTTTGGCTCAGTGGATAGAGCGTCAGCCTGCGGACTGAAGGGTCCCGGATTCGATTCCGGTCAAGGGCATGTACCTTGGTTGCGGGCACGTCCCCAGTGGGGGGTGTGCAGGAGGCAGCTGATTGATGTTTCTCTCTCATCAATGTTTCTAACTCTCTATTCCTCTCCCTTCCTCTCTGTAAAAAATCAATAAAATAGATTTTTAAAAATAGATTAAAAAAAAAATCTTGAAAAAGAAACAAAGTTGGAGGGCTCATACTTCCTGATTTCAGAACTTAGTGCAAAGCTACAGGGATCAAAACAGTATGGTACTTATATGTCAAATATATTTTAACAAAAAATAAAAAATAAACCAGTAAGGTACTGGCGTTGATATAGACACATTGCCCTGAATTGCATTGCCCACCAGAGGGTTTTGGGTTCCATGCTGGTCAAGGGCACGTCCCTGGGTTTCATGTTAGATCTCTGGCCCTGGTTGGGGTGCATGCAGGAGGCAACCAATTATATCGATGTCTCTCTCTCTTTTCCCCTCCCCTCTTTTTCCTCTCTGAAAATCAGTGAAAAAAATATTCTCGGGTGAGGATAAAAAAAGAAAAGAAAAAAAGACAT